AATCCTTTTTCTAGGCTACTTCTGACTGATCTCACTACTTTTGAAAGAAGTCTTCCTTTCAAATGTTGGCAAAATATAAACTCCACGGAGATGCATTGAAATGTAACACAGGAAAAGCCGTGTGTTAAATCCAGTACATTTTGGGGGTCAGCAGGTTGAAACTATCTTTTTTTTTTTTTTATGATGATGCTTCTACTTGAACTAGACTCTGTATTTATCTGTATTTATTTATTCTGTTATATTATGTAGTGTATATTGGACACTCACCTTTGAGAGCTGTAGGCAGCGAAATTTCACTTTAATGTATGCTGATTAGTGTGCATTCAAAGCGACAATAAATAATCTATTCTATTCTATTCTTCTATATTATATATTCTATTATATATTCTATTCTATTCTACACTAGCTCAATACCCGTGCTTCGCTACAAAACTATGTGGTCAGGCTTATTTTGGGGGTAGGAAATTGTGCCTCTGCCTAACAGCATCCATCTGTATTCATCTGGCTAGCATCCAGTCAGTGTGTGGGAGAGTTGAGGGCTGTTTGGAAAGTGAAACAGTATTTGCTGTGTGAGCCAGAAGGAGACAGCAAGGAGCCTGGGCTTGGCTTAGCTCAACTGTTCTGTACTAAAGCTGGTTGCTGCTGTGAAACTGAAACTCCTCTGCTTGTGTTTTGCATTTGGAACAGATTTCTTTTCAGGTGGGGAGGGGGAGTAGATCTCTTTAGCATCAGAGCATGTTAATAATAATAATAATATAGGAAATACAAATGCTCTGATGGTCATTTTGAAAAATCCTTTCTTAGTGAGCTCCTAGAAGCTAAGAGGAACCTTTGTACCAAATTTCAAGTTTGTAGGCTTTACGGTTCTGGAGATTTTGTGATGATGTGTGAGTGGTTTTTCGCTTTTATATAGATAGATTCTATACTCTATTCTACTCTATTCTGCATTCTGTTCCATTCTATATTCTGTTCTATTTATTCTATATTAACAATATCCTGTCATTTTAATTAATCATGAAGAAACGTGGTGTGCATAATGGTAACAATGAATGCACAATCCTTCTTTTGAACCAGGCAGCCATCGAGTTACCCCAGCAATACAATGCTTCAGTTTCAATGTAGAACAGCCGCATCCTTTGCCAGGGTCACATGCTGTGGTGAGGAGGCTTCTGCTCCCGTTGTATGATTTTGGAAAAACAATCCGGTTCCTTTTAATGAGACAGGGATAGCTGCTGTCTGTCCCGAAGACGGATAAGTTGGTATTAGTTGGGAACAGAGTTTTAGAATCCTGTCGAAAGAATCCGTTCCCCCTGAAATGCATCAGAGCTGCTTATTTATAATTTGGATGAGTAGCTGAAGGGAGACAACTGATAGCCCTGATGATGTTACCTAGTTTGGTAATGAAACGTCTGCAAGAAAATAGCCAAGCTCAGATAGCGCCAAGGACCCCACAGTCGTCTCCTCCTCTTCATCCTCTTCTCCTCCCATTCAACAAACTCCACTCCCTTTCTAGCACTGATGATGTTACCTA